CATCACCAATCCTGCAGGGTGCTGCACAGGCTCTGCTGCTCTGGGCAAGGGCCAGAAGGGAAGGGAAGGGCCATGTAGCTGTGGGCCCCAATGGGGTGACGAACAACACTGGAGGCACAAGAACCCAGCTGCAACTACACTTGATTTCCAGGTCAAAACACTCGGTGTAGCTGGGCTGGGCTTCCCTGTAAGTCATGCAATGGATTTGGAATCCTATGTGAGGCATACAGGGGGTTTGGGATCTTTCCCAAGGTGTGCAGGGTGATGGGGTCTCTCCTGAGGTACATGAGGGGGGTTTGCATTCTTATTTGAGATGTGGAGAGGGCTGTGGGCTCCCATCAGCCTGCTGGTGCTTTGTGTCCCTCCTGCTGCACACAGTGGGGCTGGAGTCTCTTCTGAGGCACTCAGGGGACGGGGTCCCTCCCGGGGTCCCTCCTGGGGCAGGTCCGGCTCGGAGCTGCCACGGCCCAGGGGCACCCAGGGGCAGCCGCCGTGCCGGGATGGCGGTGCCGAGGGGCCGAGGTGGTTGCTGCACGGGCACGGCTCGGGCGGTGCTGAGCACCCCGAGACGAGGGGCCATGGCCTGCACTGCCTCCATCCGTGCTGGGAACACAGACAGCCCAGCCGGCAGAGCGGCGGCACCGGGCCCCAGCCAGCACAGAGGGGAACAGAACCGATGCCAGAGCAGCCGTGGGGCCTGCCCGGCTCTCCGGGCCTGTGGGCAGCCCGGGCAGGAGCGGCTCGCTCTGTGCCGCGCTCTCCCCACAGAACGGGGCTCCGAGTGAGCACCTTGGGAATGCTGAGGGCGATTCGGGGCCGCAACTGAACTTGCCAGGGAGAGAAACAATTCATAGGAGACTTCTTTAGGCCTTTCTAAAGATGAACTGAGAAACAACTTCAAATCCCAGGCTAAATAGTGTGTTCTAATGTGTGCTGATTTTTTGCAAACGATTTGTTTGCAACTCCCTGTCAGGCCCGTGGTGCTGTCCCAGCCAGCACCAACACCCAGGAGCTCTGCTGTGTGCAGCACGGCTGGGACAAGGGAAACGAGTTCACATCCCTACAGATGCCCTCTCTGCCTTCAGAGTTAACACACAATAGCAATATTCCAGCAAGAGCAGGTATTTTTACACCCTCAGGACGGTGTGCTCTTGTGGTCCTCATGGTGGATCAGAGAGGAAAGCCAAATTTGATGGACTAAACTTGACTGTAGGAGAGGGATAGCTCAGCAGAGGGCCTGGGGACACAGTGACTGGCACACAGCAGGAAGACCCCAGACTATCACAATTCAGCTGGGAGGGTATAAAAGCCCAGGGGTTCTTGGTTCAGGGTCCCCCAGAGGCACCAGCTCAAGCTGCCACTCTTGCACCATGATAACATTGTTTGAAGGATCCAGTGGTCTGACAGTCTGCTATGGAGTACATTCTACATTTCCAATCTTTTGGGCATTTGGGAGCTTTTGATTTTGCTTTGCACCCAAGATAAATAAACCCCCAAAAGTGCACAAATAACTCCTTTACCATTTCCTCCTTTTATTTTCAGCTGATTTTTATATTGTTCTATTTGCTCTGCTACCTTGTCCTCATCTTTCTAAAATTCATGGGCCTAGTCAGGTCCAGCCTGGGATGGTGCACACATTTTGTTTAGTTCTCTAGTAACTTATCCCCAGCAATCGTGCTGACCACACCCATTTAAAATATTGCAAAAACCTAACCCTGGGCTGCAGTATGTGAATCACACTCCAGTGTGTGAGATGGCAGAGCATCAGGGCAGGCACTGAAGAAGAGGGCATTCCGTAAAATAGATTTGTTTAACCTGACTGCTAATGCTAACACAGAACTGCCTGTCATGCTGCCTTGCCTCTTTGCTAAGCTGGATTTGTGTTTGTGATTCACATGTGATACTTTGTTTACAAATGTGCCTATTTTAGGGTGATTCTGAGGATGATTTAGAATGATTAGCAGGAGTCAGTAGACACTGGAATAAATCTTTAAGCTCAGCAGGAATTAAATCCTGTGATTTCAATATAGTTCTTATTATTCCACTTAAAACCTCACTATCCGTGCCAAATTTTTTTTATTTATTTATTTTACATAACTCTCTGATCACTTGGTAATTGAAAGGCCGAGGTTGGATTTGCATTGCTCCTCTGCCTTTATTATATACTACAGGAGCAGCTGTAAACATATCTTCATCTTCTCCAGGGCTGGTATGCCCTGGGTTTCCCCACCAACACCCACCCTTGCCGGGCTCTGGGGGCCCCGTTCTCTCACTGGGCCTGTGGAGGGGCTCAGCTGCTCCCCCGCAGGAGCTGGCCAAGGGCCCGGTCCCCCGCCCCAGGGAGCTGTCTGGAGAAGGGACCAACCTGGGACAATCCTGAAATCCTGGGTCTTTGCTGATCCTTATCCATGCCTTTCACAAATATTGCCTCCTGAAGATGGCACCTCTGCAATGAGGAACAGTCCCATCTGATCCAGCTCTCCCTCTTCCATTCTCCAGGAATGAAACGAGAGCCTGTGCAGCAGGAAACAATTCCCAAAGGAATCATTGATTCTGTGCCCGACACTGCTGCAGGAAGGGAGGCCATGCCAGGCACAGTAACACAAGGTAATTGCTGTGCCTCTGGGCCTGAGCCCAGCTGAGGCTTGAGCTGCCATCGCTGCTGCTTGGCTGTGCCTGCCCTTCAGGGATGTTGCACAGAGCATGGAAAGGGTGTTGAGAGTGACCAGGAGGCAGCCCACAGCTCCCCTGGCCCCTCTGCAGCTTTGGCCATGTCCATTCAGGACAGATGTGGCTCCCACAGCCTTACCCAGCCCCACTGCAGTGTCCAGTTCCCTAAGGCTGAAGAATATCCCAGAATACCCTAAAAAAGGTTCTCATGTGTGCACCCTTCCAGATAAGGTTCCTGGCAAGGTTTCACCATTAGCTTGGCTGCATAATGTTGTGAAGCACACTGGGCCTCCTGCAGGTATGTTCTCAGTGTCCCATGGAGGAATAATCATTGACAACCTGTCAGGAATCAGGTGACAGAAGCTTCTGTGGCTGTTTCAGTTACAGGTGTGTCTGCAGAGAGCATTGTCCCAGCTCCTGAGCTGGTTACTGCACCCAAGCCCAGCTCTCAACACAGCAGTGAGTAGTGTGTGCCTGCTGACCCCACAAGCTGAGGACTGGTTATGTGGGATCCATTCCAGTAAAATGGAAATATTCTGTTCTAAGGTCCTCCAAGAGAGAAGACCCAAGATACAGCAGAAGAGATATCCCTGAAACGATCTGAACTTACACGGCAAATGCTGAAGGAAATGCAGGGGGGAGCACAAGGTGGGTCCATGTCCCTCAGCCTTCTCCTGAGACTCAGCAGCCGGGGGCTTTCTCTGCACATCTGGACACGCCATGCCTGGCACAGCAGGAAGGGACCCATCGCAGCCTCACTTCCCCTCTGCTGCTTTCACATCCCCTCTGCTGCTTTCACAGCCTGCAGGGCTGTTCCCCAGCCTGGCCTGGCTGCAGCTTCTCCCCAGCCTCTGCAGGAAGGCATTTGGCATCAGCTGACAGGGAGCCCCAAGTATATCACAGACCATGCACACCCTGAGATCCCCTGCAATTTCTCAGTCTCCGGCTAGATCAGGTCGAGGGGCTGTTTGGAGAAGGGACCAACCTGGGACAATCCTGAAATCCTGGGTGTTT